GAAATATGCCATAGACTGTCTCTTATACACATCGAGATGGGTATAAGAGACAGATATATATATATATATAAGCGAAACAGAATCTTGAAACATAAGTTTGCAGTGGAAATTACTATGTCAGGTTTGTTGATTGCCGTAGCTGTCTTAGCTTTATATTCTTCTTTGAAAATTGACAACTAAATTGCATGTCATTTTGTAAACACTGACGTGGATAAAGGAGGTATAGGAGGGTGAGAAAAATATGCTTCGTCGTCAAGTTATTTTAAAATATTGATGAAGGTTGTATAATAATTTAAAGAAATTAGAAAAGTTGTAACGACAGCAGACTTAATATGCATTGTTGTTAATCATATTACTACGTACATCGATATTGGTTTATTATTTAAATTCATACATCGTATCATTCATAGTGGTTTTTAGGCCATCTTCCCATGTGTTGATCGCATTATCGGATTATTCTTTGGCATCGAAATCATCGATAGCCACTTAAGCTATCAAATGTTCGTTGTTGTACCCAGATTTATGTCTGTGTCTCCAGATTCTGCTTGATTGTAGGACTATACAACAAGTACAGATTTCGAAAGTATTTACATGTAGGCTTATCTATTATTCTTCTGCAATATCCTGCCATGTCGGTCGTAAACTAGCGTAGGGCCTACGCAGAAATAAGTTTTGATTGCTTGTGCACATGCGCAAAACCAAAACTGAGCTTTATTGGCATATTGAAATACAGTTGAATGTCTTCTTTCTAGTCTTCAAATGATTGGCTACGTTTGTTATCCTGTAATACTGAGTTTCCATGGCAACTAATGAGCGTTTGTTGGACAGCCCCATGATATCTGTTGTGTTTTACGTTCAATTAGCACATGTCAATTGAGATCCGAATCGTACGTATCCGACAATTTAACTTGCTTAGTAATATATATCTCAATAAATAATCGACTTTGTTCTGTTGCAGTCCGGACTACTGTGAGATGGCTAACAGTGCCCTGACGTCGGTAATATGTCTGGTATTGGTACAGTTTATATTACTGTCTCTTGTCACACCACTTGACGCAGCGAGGCGAGTAAAACACCCTCCTAACATGAGTAGATGGGGAAAGCGCTTATACACATTACCTGCAGGTAAGAGAAATATACATATGTTATATAGGGCCTAAATATAATTAGCCTTAGGCCTTACTCAAGTGCGTAGATCTGTTTTCAAAGGTAGGAGGAAACATTCCGTAAGATCACACCCACCTCAACCCCACCATGGTTGGGGTTGAGGTGCGAACATTTGAGGAAATAGTATTCTCTAGATCATTCATGGAAATGACATTCTTATGTAGTAAAATCCATCAGCATCACATCACCCTTACAGTCAAAATGAAGCGCCAACAAATTTCTCATGATCTTTTATCAGCGATTTGATTTACCTACTTCAAGCCGCGAGTTCACACCCATCTTAACCCCACAATGTTAGGGCTGAGGCCCGACAATTTGGGTAAATATTACCTCTAGCTGGCCGGAAATAACACTCTTATAGTAAAATTCATCCTCATCACATCAACATTATATCAACATTCTCTTGATCATTTATTAGGGATTTTCAGCAATTATAGAGATCTAATTAATCCCTGTGATGCACCATTGAACATAAAACCTAATTGTCTTTGATGTTTACTTTACTTTACCTACTTCACGTGCCGAAAACCAATCTCATCTTTACACTCAAACTTCATACTTCTCAAATTATAATAGGCACGCACACTCTAGTCGTGTATAGGTAATTCAGATATTTGGGGGCAGATAATATACTAATATCTTACTAAGAAGATATATTCTGGCTGTACAGGGCTCTTTCGTTAAAAAATGGGTCATTTATGCAGTTCTTTTTAACAATTTTCAGGCATCTTTTTGAATTATGAAATAACATTGCCGCCTAAAAGTGGGCGGACGTGTATCCTGTCCTCCATGATCTGCACCCATGGGCCTACTGTACACAATTAGTAGTTGAAACAATGTGTGCATGCTGTATTTTGGTCAAATAAACAACGGAAACGAGACCAAACTAATAGTGATGATTCCCATATTAAAAAGAAACTTCAGATGATAAATTTGAGAATTTGATTGTTTATCACAATATTTTAATAATAGAATTTAATAAATAATAATATTATTACTTATATCATTATTATTAAAATTATTATTAGGCCTATTAGTATAACAACTAAAATTATTTATTATATTACTAATAATCATACAGTAATATTACTAATAGGCCTAATTATGAAAAAATATTTATAATTATAATAATAATGATAATAATAGAATGTAGCACAATTTCAAAGACCAAATGAGCTATAATGTCTGTTGTGCTTGTTTACAGTAAATGGTGATTCAGTTTGAATGTTGATAAAGATATATGGTAATATTTTAATATAAGGATGAAATATGCCATAGAAATTCAAAATGAAGATAGATCCGTATAATGATAATCTAGGTTACAGTGATCATTATTGTAAAAAAAATGTTGTAAATGTAAAGCAATGTCGGTGACAACAAAGTGACAACAATGCAACAACGTTAAATGCCGCAAGGACATCATTTTACGTCATGCAACTTTTATCCGATTGACTATGAATGTTAGTGAACAGTTTTATTAGACTATCGTGGGGCTATATTATTACGGATCTATGCCATGTGATATCGTGTATAGGCCTACTAAAACGATAAAAGAAGTTGTCTCGTGAGTAAAAATGACAGGTGGAGAATATTATTTAGTTTTGCTTATTACAATTGAATTGACCAATCAGAAGAGGAGAGCTCAATGGTTCTTTCAAAAGCTGACGTAAAGCCGGGCACACACTTCGCCGACGCTTGTCCGCCGACGCTATTCACGGAGAATACAGCGTATCATGTTTAATGGCAATCTGACCATGTCTGCCATCCACAATCAGCAGCAGACTGCGTTGCGTCCGTAAGTAGTCACAGAGAGCAAAAATTGAATAAAGAAAATTTTAATAAATAAATAATTAAATTTGAGGGATGGATGGATTTATTAGATGTAGACACTAAGGATAACCCACGAAAATCTGATGAAAACTTATTTTCCAAGGGAATCCTTCTGGTGGTGATAGGGAAATACACCTGGAGACAATCCCCCTACTTTTATTTCCAAAGAGTGTACTTCGTTCTTTAAAGCCGGTTACTCACTGCGTGCGACGGCGACGCGACGGCAACGCAACAAAGGTCGCACGCAAAAAGACGTGGACCCAACGGATCGTCTTTTAATGAGGATCCGTTCAAATTACCACTACTGATAATCAGCAGACGGCGTTGCGTCGTCTATCGCTCGCCGGAAGCAAATGTGGATTCGTCGTGCGACGGTCGTACGACCTTCGTACGACGCAGTGAGGGTCCGGCTAAACGTGCACATGGGGCATAATGCACATAGGACCAGGGGCGCAGCCAGGGTAAAATTTAAGGGTGGTCGAGCCTTGCGAGCCCAGCGAGCAACTAGTCTGGGGGCCTCGGGGCCGCCAAGGGCCCGGTCAGGGTCGCCGAGGGGCAGAAGGTTCGGGAAAATTTTAGGTGATAAACGACAGAATTGAGAGAGGTAGTTTTCTACCATGGTAATTTCTATTAAGCCTCTAACCAAAAAAATAAAATAAATTTAAAAAAAATTTAAACAATTAAAAAATTCAACATGAAAGTAATGTGTAAACAAGAAAATAAATTTAGAACACTTGTAAAAATTCTGACATATATACGACGTGGCTAGTCTTTGGCTTATAACAGTAGTATATTTAAAGGGTATAGAGAAGAGTGAGATTTCACAAAGTGTTATATATTTTAAGCCCCTAATGAAGGCCTATTTTTAAATCGGTCTCAAAATCTGCCATGTTTTATTATTACCTACTGGAAGAATTTCTTGGACATGATAAAGCGTAGACCTCGCTTTCATATTATTTGCTTTAATAGTGTTGGTTAGGCCTATAATACTAGTTTGACGCAGCTAACGACGCGCCATCGTAAATCATAATGGTTTATGGGAGGTATCAAATGCACTGAGGGAGAACAAACGGGACCATAATATGGTAACCATAAAATCATGGTAACTCTTTGGTTACCCATATCGAGGTAGAAATGAAAACACTGTGATTTTACCGTATTATTTGGTATAATCAGGGAAGAGTGGATGGGATGTGATCGCTTACGGGAAGTGGTCAACTGTATTATACACTCTTCCCTGATTATACCAAATAATACTGTAAAATCACAGTGTTTTCAATTCCACCTCGATATGGGTAACCAAAGAGTTACCATGATTTTAACAAATGTTTTTTATCTAGTGTACTTTAATTAGTACTGTATACGCACAACATTCGAGATGTCTAGATAACACGGCGTGTGCGCCGGGTCTGAGGCAAGAGTCACTCAGTTACTCGATAAATCATAATAAAAGGAGTGTCGCTTACATTTTATATATTATGTTTTTTTTACATTACCAATCATTTACTAATATAATCGAGATGTCCTTTAAAATTTTTGATTAATTTAAGAGGAATACCGACTTCCTTGACCCCTTTTCGATGCGCCCGTGGGGACCAATGTCTCATCCGAAAGATGGTGCTCTATCGTAGCTTGCATTTGAGCTCTCAAACTGAAACACAAGGAGAGATGCGATGAAACTTACCGTACCTAGAGATCTGCACGTTTTAGTGTACACACTGTAGCTACCACCAGTTTAAGCCGACTGAGCTGAGATATGTGTTAAGTTAATTACGATGTGTGTTCATTTTGGTAAATTATGACTAATATTTTTTGTTTTTATATTATAAATGTGTGTAACATATTTAGCATGAATGTCAATTTATTCTATATAAGCCACTGGTTGTGTATGATAACATTAAAGTTCACCTCATCAATTATATTTATCTTATCTTTAATCTGATGACACCGCCTAAGTATCGTAAAGCTGTTAACTGACAAAAAAAAAGAAAAGAAAAGAAAAAACCTCATAAAATCAGAATATTGCTGATGATAAATGGAAAATTTACTCTCGCTGCTGTTCGAATTCTTCATAATATATTGTTAAAAGATTGTCCATACGTCCAATATTATAGAAGATCACTAAGAATACATTGGCATAAGGCCGATCCTTTCCTGTCCATCGATATGTGTTAACTAGCTAAGGTGTTACACGCCATTAGTAGCAATCATTAAAAAAAAATGATGTGCACCTAAATATTATGTCCATTATGACTCTTTAACAATTTGATGCGAGATAAGTAAAGAGCTTACTGTAAGTTATTAATATAATTACAGCCTACCGGTCACTCACAGAACAGCATAATTCAATAGTTATTGACATCATTTGGCTAATTATTCTATGATAATAGATTTTCATATTCCCTTAAGAATGATTCACTTGCCCTAAAATGCCGTGTTGGGAATACACTACAATTAAATTATGAATGTATAACTTTATTGTCCAATATGACACTGGAAATTTGTTTTCCCGCTAACAATAAAACACAGTATCAATAGAATATCACCGCCATTATCTTTTTTAATGACAATAGGTTATTTACTTATTCTTTAAAAAAATGATTTAGCATCATAAATTGTTGTACTAGTTGTGTTATGGTATATTCCTTTTGTTTAATGAATTACTAAGGAAATCAATTTACTATGTATTTTGCAAATAATTTGAAAAAATCTGGTTTATCGCAATGGCCTAAATCATATCTTGAATCCAATTGAGAAATAATAGTATGATATGTAATAAAAAAAAATGCATCATTATAAAAACATTGAATGTGTATTGCTTTCTGTTGTCGTTTATTGTATGTAATTCTATGTTTAGTATTGACTAATTGGGTCTGAAATGAAGTAATATAAGTGAGTTAATAATAAAACTGTCTGCGTTTCTAATGCACTTGAAGAATAGAATTCAGTAGTTTAATTTCTTAATTTGTATAATATGTAGGTATGATATTAACTTTCAATCTAAAAATAGTGCGAGAAAAATATCTTTCTTGTCAGCTAACGACGCATAAATAATACCACTCCAGTCATTCGTATACGTTTGAATCTGATAATCAAATAATAATAAAGATAATTATTGAAAAAAGTCA